TTATTATTATTATTATTATTATTATTATTGCCGTTATTAACTAATATTATCTTAATTATTATCATTTGTTAATATTATTTCAATTATGATTATTATTTAATAGTTCATCAAGAGTAAGTTATTGCAGTTAATTCTCAAAACTGCCAAAGACAGTTTGTGAGGAATTCCCTCAAGAAACAACTAAAGGATGCAACTGTGATTCTGAATGAACACCCTACTTTCAAATGTTGGTTGTACTCTAAACTCTAGGAGCAATCTATCACAGAAATTTTTCACATTTTACGCCTCCAATAAAAGTTTATGCTTGAAAAAACCACGTTTCCAACCCTAATTACCACAAGTTTTATCGTGTCAACAGAATAGAACAGTTTAGAACAGTATAGAACAGTTTAAGCGGTAGAATAGAATAGAGCAGTTCTCAAATGAAGATCGCACAGAATATAATAAAATAGAGTCGTTTTTGAGTACCGTGAGCTCGATGTAAAGTACCGTGAGCTCCTAGCACGAACGTGAATGTTTTCACTTCTTGCTTTATTATCACGGTTGCGTACAAATTCAATGCAAATTTATTTATTCAAACGAGAATTGAGTTGCAATCCATAAGAAAATCAAGTGAATTCCAAATTGTGCTGTATATAGGATATAACATAGCTGACAAGACGAATGAAATATAGGAAAGCACTACCATTAATCAGAGGCTTATGCGTTGGCAAATTTTCGGATTCATAATTGAAAAGGTGAAAAATTTAAGAAGATTCGTAATAAACTTTCAACGTGATGAGCGGACATTTGCACTTTCTTTTCATTTTTATTAGACATGAGTGTTGTTCGTTCAATAGATGGATGATGAAAGGAAGCAACAATGAAATCAGAAGACAACAAATGGATCTGGATAAAAATATTTATTTGCACTTTGTAAAGATGGCAGATAGAAGTGACTGGCTCATTTTGGAAATCGATATGGGACTTGCTGTACAAGTGACCGGAAGTAGTGGTCACTGGCGTGTTCCTTTGAGATTGGCTTGAGCTGATCGGTGCTTGTTTATATTGGATAATCAATCTTCAATGGGACGCATTCAAGAATCGCTTTTTAGAGAATGCTTTCATCCTTTCAGCAAATCCTTTGCAAAGCGATTGTCTTTGGCATAAGCAGAATTCTGATCGAAATTCGAAACGTCTTATTACTACTTCATTCTCACGCCACGAGTATAATTGAGGACCTATGGAGGGATTGAAGAGATGGTTGGATGATAGCGATGCAAGGGAGCAATACAGTATCGCTTCTTTCAACGATCTGGATGTTCAATTGCAGCCGAATACATCGATGTGCTGTTTATTTCAAGAGGCAGGTGAGATGGTTTTTTGTTTTCCTCAAATTTGAAAAGAGCATTTTGCATATCTTTTTGCTTCATAGAAGTTTCGAATTTCAGGCATATTCTGGCAGGGAACACTTATCAGCATACGCTCCAATGATTGTTGGGCTACACGGAACGCTGGCTCATTGCGCGAATAACCCGCTGAGCGGTAGGGTTAGAGCTGCTTTTGCAAAATATGTCACGAAGATTCTCTGTGATTGATTGTTCTCTGATTCATTTGGTGTTCAGAAACATCTATATCTCAAATGTGCCACCTACCTTGACCCGTGATATGCGTATCGTGATGAAATTGTTGATTCGCAGGGTTGCAGCCTAGCGAAGCAGTTGAGTCAAGACAAAGGTGAGTTTTCGCTTTCGCTATGCAATCCTTGCCAGAAAATGAGCCTGAGATAGCCCCGAGGAACGTATCTTCCTCTTAAATGGTTCTTTAAGAAGACCTTGATGCTCAGGTCGTATCTTCCTGCGATTGTTTTAATTTGCCCATAATTTCCTCCTGTTTTTTCAAACCAACTTTTTTGGACTACATATGCGAGGACGATGTTCAATTTGTTTAATTTTGCGTGCAACATGGGCGGTGTGGAGAACTCTGAGAACGACTAGCCGCAGCAGTCATCTCTGCATAGTCAGTTTATGATATTTCATCGACTTTCGGAAGCTTCATGAATAGAGCCTTGTTTTGTCGTCCGATAAGATTTCTGTAGACCAGCCAGGCGGATATTCAGTATTGATTTTTATGGCCTTCTCTTTAGATGTAAAGATCTAATATGAACCACTCATTGTCGCAGGTTTCCTCAACGCGAAGAATTCGAAAATAATGGCTACAGAAAGAATGGCGGAAATCAATGAACAAGAAAGAATAAAAATGAAATTCGAGGCATGAGTTTTTGCTTTTTGTTGAATGGTTCTTTATTGCCAGTGGTTCGTTTTTGTGTTGACTGTATCTGAGTCATGATTTTTTCACAAATTCTATGCTTCACATTCGTGCGAATTTCAGTTCGGTACAGTGATGGATATGCTTGCAATAAATTTCTGAAAGGAAGCACTGTACATTTGACGCTTGCCAACTATTAATACTATCTCTGGTGCCACCTTCAAGGCTACCGTATTCTCAAGTTTGCCCTGTAACATCTTAATTTTTTGCTTAAATCGATCCAGCTGGATCTCAATATCCAGAAAAATATATATTTTGCCGAGCGATTTTGCTTTCTTGAGGTGTTATAGCTATTTTCTTAGATCTATTTCAGGCAGATAGCGCAGTCGTGCTCATTCATACAAACTGATTACTATAGAACAATCAATACGTTCATATAGCAGTAGGCGGATTGCGATCTTCGAGCTAACCGTCTTCTCAGGTTTGCCCGGAAACATGTGAATTTCTTTTCACCGTTCGATCCAGCAGAACTTCTAGATTCAGAATGTTATAAATTTTACTGAACAGTTTGGCTTAGTTAAGGAGATATAGGTGTTTTATTAATACTATCTCAGGTGCCACCTTCAAGGCTACCGTATTCTCAAGTTTGCCCAGTAACATCTTAATTTTTTTGCACGAATCGATTCAGCTGGATCTCTACATCCAGAAAAATATATATTTTGCTGAGCGATTTTGCTTTCTTGAGGAGTTATAACTATTTTCTTAGATCTATCTCAAATAGGTAGCGCAGTCGCGCTCATTCATACAAATTGATCACTATAGATCAATCAATACGTTCATATAGCAGTAGGCGGATTGCGATCTTCGAGCTAACCGTCTTCTCAGGTTTGCCCGGAAACATGTGAATTTCTTTTCACCGTTCGATCCAGCAGAACCTCTAGATTCAGAATATTATAAATTTTATTGAGCAGTTTGGCTTAGTTGAGGAGATGTAGGTATTTTTTAATACTATCTCAGGTGCCACCTTCAAGGTAGGACGAACGTCACCTTTCAAATACAAAAACAAAGTGAGGATTCTGCAGCACTTCTGGAAGGAGAAGTAGAGCATGCAATATAACAAATGAAGGTTGGAACTTTGGCTGAATTAGACGGCATAACTGCAGAAGCAGCTAAATTATCGAAAGATCAACTCGTTCCTCCCCTTACCAGTCTTTTCAATAAAATCATCAATGTCACGGCGATTCCAAATGGCTTTGGAGACTCAAAAACAATTCTATTGTACAAAAAAGGTGATCCAAAACAAATAAAAAACTATTGTCCAATATCGCTGCTGTCTGTCATATACAAATGTATCACCAAGGTGTTAAACAATCGAATACAACGGTTTTTGAAGGATTGAGTTGGCAAAATAAAGGTGTGAAAATTGATGGGAAAACGTTAAACAATCTCAGATTTGCTGATGACATTGTCCTAATTTCATATAATTGCAACCAGATAAGGCCAATGTTGAAAGATCTCATTCGGGAAAGTAGCAAAATCGGACTAATGATTAACGTCACCAAAACAAAGATCTTGACAAACCGTAATCAAATATAATCAAATCACCGCTCATTATTGACGGAACTGTCGTTGAAGAAGTCAGCGAGTTCATATACCTTGGCCAGCTCATATCAATAAAAAAAGAGAGATAAGCCGAAATGAGAAGAAGGATAAAAATCTGATAGAAATCGTTTTACAAATATAAAGAATTTTTCACTGATAGGACGGTCGCAATGGCTTTGAAACGACGTCTTTATAATGATTGTGTTCTTCCGGCGATGTTATACAGGTCCGAACCATAGACGGTGACAAAAGGAACAACCGCCCGGACTGTGGATGAGCTTCATTCCTGTAGATTCACCTTCGTTGTTTGCTGGGATTGATACCACAATAAATCTGAGGTTCTTTTTTTATGGTTCTTTTTTTCAGGTTGAGCGTGGATCTTCTGTGTGACTTTCGATTCGGTTGGAGATGGCGCTACAAGGTCAGTTGATGAAAGATGAGTTTAAATTGTTATGAGATGAACGCTTTTGTATTTGTTGTATTCAGTGTTAGATGAAATATTTACAGATTCTGTTGTTCACTTCTCTCACTCAACTTTTCCCTCAATCTGTTGTTGTTGTTCCACCGAAGTTGTTGAACTTCCGTGGTCTCATGCATTTCATTATAATTTTAATATTCATCTCAAGCATTATGATTTCATTATGATTTTATTCAATTATTGTATGATCGATTGTTGATATAATTTTATTTTATTACTGTATGATCTCATGTATTGTGATTTTTTCATTCGATCAATTTTATTCAAAGATGTATATTGCTTTGCAACGTTGCGTTTCAATATTAATTATGGATTTTTTTTTGTTTTTATATGGAAGGGTTTATACAAAATTTTAATCCATTTGATCTTATTAAGGAGTGTTTATTGTTTCGCATTTTAATATTAATTATGGATTTTTTGTTTTTATACGGAAGGGTTTCTATATAGCGAAAAATGAATGAATTTTTCCTATCTGATGTATACACTCACACCACAGAAAATCAACTGAGCTCTTAGTTATAACTCGCATTATGAACTACAGTATTTGTGACAGCTTTTTATATATCTTAATTAATGGAAGCATTAGTAATGTACCACTTTCTGTTGCGGTTCAGGGGACATAACCCCAAGTTTGCCCAGAGGTTCACCCCAGCTAGAGTGAACTTGACGCAACAGGAGCGAAATTAGACCATAGTTCAGGCGGTTGTTTGCAGGAACGATCTTACTCATGATGAATATAAGAGATCGTAATATAGTTAAGGTTATGTGTGGTTGGACCAGACGAGAATAATTAAATACAGTTTATTGAGGATACTTATATATTTTAAAATGTCGATGGATAATATATTTACGAATTTACAATGATGGGGTGCTGATCGATGGCTTATCACAATAATTCACAATAATTAAAGTATCAATCACTGGTTCCTAGTATAATAAATTACAGCAATCAAGATGCCAGTCAGTGGCTTGTAGAAATTAACAATATTAATATTAGTTAACGGTAATCACGAATTACGGCTTTAATACACCAAATGGAGATGCCAATCACTGGCAATACTTGGTAAATGAATGTTACACTTCTGGGATCTGATCTCCTCTTCTTCGGCTTCTTCTTTTATGGCCCTCTTTCTCTCTCCTTTTCTCACGTTCCTGAAAGATCATATTCGTACATAACATCTTATAATGGCATTCTTAGCTTTAGTTAAGAGTTTGAGGATTAGGTTGAGTTGCCGCTGACTACAGAAATATTACTATAATTATTTATTGACGTATAATCAGCACAATATAAGATTACAATATTAATAATAATTGATATCCCAACTTTGGTAATACATGATGAATATGCACTTAACAATTTACTTGACGAATCGTTACTGGACGAATTACTTATTTGACGAATTATAATACTTATTACTTGAATTACGTACTGCTCAATGTTCAATTACAAAAATTAGAACCCCCAAGCCGGGGATATTATTGCAGAACAGAGCAGAAGATAAGCACAATGATGAATAAACACAATACCACAGATTCCTTGGGTGGATCTCTCCGACCCTTCTCAACAGTAACTCTCTCGTACCGACTGATTTGACTGCTTCTGTTGCATGCTCGCCTTCTTTTATACCCGTTGCTTCACGGCTCGCTCTCACATTACTAAAAGATTATATCCGCTGATAACGTTCTTTGATACTTTTTTCAACATTTATAAATGCCTTTGTTTTGTCTATTAGCATATATTTTAGCTAAATATGCAACAAAATGATGTTTTGGGAAATTGGAAAGTGCAGTGTTTACACTTTCAAACAATGTCTTTGTTTTGGCTGTTAGCATGCATTTTATCTGAACATGCAACAAATATGTTGCCTTTCCCATATGTTCATCTTTATGTTTTGATTTAAGCCGTTTCATCGAAATGATATTTTAAGAATTCGAAAGTGCAATGTTTACACCTCCTTTTTCACAAAGACCAACTCTGGTCTTTACTTAGTCAGTTGGTTAATTAATTGGTTTTTGTTTTGTTGCCATATGGTCTTGTTAATTAATTTTAAATAGTTGCCATATGGTTTCGTCATGTGGCTTGTACCTTCCTTTAGTTCTCGAAGACCGTCTCTGGTTTTTGAAAGATAAAAAGGTAGTTGTAGCGTCTACCAGTGTTTGATTTTTGATTGCCAATTACTCGAATAACATCTCCGTGTCCTCGAGCCAGCGATCGGTGAGGTCTGCCGTGATCTGGGCTTTGATGCTGTACCCGTCGGCATCTGATAGTACCCTTGCTCGAGATCGCTGCGTTGTGCTGCTTCTCAGAACGTCCATATAACGAAGGTCGACGATTGGTGTTTCTTTAACCACTTCGCCTAAGTACGTCTTACAAACACACGACCTGAGCAACGACTGCACATCTCCAATGATTATAATGCCATCTTCGGCTCGTGAGAGTGCGACAGTGATTCTTTGTTCATCAAGGAACAATCGAGTGAATTCTTCGAAGGCTTGATCAGGTAATATCTTTGTGGTGACCAATGTCACGATCGCGGCCTCTTTCCCTTGGAAGCCATCTATCGTGTGGACCTGGAATTGGGCTTCCTCCAAGGCCTTTCTCAGGGCATCGCGTGTAGCTGTGTAGAAACAGAGCACAATTACATCTTCTGGTGGCAAGTTCTCCAGCAGTTTCTACGTGATGGTTTTGGCTGCAAATTCCTGGAAGTCGTTGTAGCGTGACAGCAGGAAGTTCTTATCATCAGCCGCCTCCATATGCAACACTACAATCGGTACATTTTCTATCGGGAGAGGTAATTGTGAGGATGCCATCTTTGGCCGTTCGCTCCTTTCGACTGCCGCTATCAGGGCGTTGTCGTATGACATGACTGATAGGCAGTGCGTCAGGAAGGGATGTGAACGACAGCTCATTTCTAAAGTTATGGCTGGAATCTTCTGCCGTCGGAGGACCGTTTGCACTGCTCCCATAAAGCCATAGGGTATGATGTTATCGAGGATATGGTCTTTATAGGCCGGCAATTGTTTAGTGTCACCGGTTAGGAATAGTTGTTGGAGTTCTTCGAGTGACGTGATGAGGCCATATAGTTGAGCATCGGACACGAGAGTAATACCCGTTTCATAATGCACACACACAGTGGTGGACATACGTTTGCATTGCTGAAAAACCGAACTGAAACGAACTTTGGGTGACCAAGTATGCGCTTGCAAGTGTCGTAGTTGCATTTGTCGTAGATTCATATTAGACCACACCCTCTTTTTCCTTGACCGACACTGCGATTAGCTAATTCGTGCGAGCACAGTTATAGTGAAAGGATTTTAAGGGACTGAAACTTAGACTTTCTAAAATCGAAGTGCATGAAAGGAACTGTTATGATAAGCAGTTATTTGGTCAACGTTTGGCAATGCTTCACTGCATTTCTAAGCTAATTCATTTCATTCAACTTGACAGTTAATTGAAATTTAGAGTGGGTCGAAGAAAAATTTTGATATGGATGCAGCACATCGTATGCTGCCTCCTCCACCAATGATACATGGTCTTCCACCAATGCCACCACCACCAATAGGTAAGTAATCTTCAGCGAGTTTAACTTGTGTCACCTTTCGGATTGATTTATTATGCAGTCATCTCTTTTCGACATATTAATAAACTTTCGCTAAAATTTATGTGATTATAGTTTTCTAATTTATTTTAGGAAATGAAATGCCTTTGTTCTTTTGAACCTGTCTTACGGTTTGCAAATCCTGTAAGACATTTCACAACTTATAAAAATGAGAAACTGAAAAGAAATGTGGTGATTTGTTCTGCATGCATCATTATTTGAGTTCATCATGTTTCTTGAGTGTTCCTTCCTCAGGTAGTCTCAATGAATTTTTCTTTTATATTCTGTTCTTGTTAACAGCTGTTAAAAATTGCAGATGAAGAAGAAAGATCGGTGATCGATCGGCTGGCTGAGTTTGTAGCTAAAAATGGTCCACAAATGGAGGAGCGAACTCGAGAAAAAGAATATGGTAATCCACGTTTTGGGTTTCTGTTTGGTGGACAACACTCAGATTACTACCGATTCCGAGTGATGCAAGAAATGCGTGCACGTAATTGCTGTATATATTATTTTTGTTTTTTTTGTCATGTCTGAAGTGCCATTTTAGGGGTTTTTGAGTGTAGCGTAGTTTTGGAATTTTTTTTGATGTATTTCATATTGATAAAATATGCTGAATTTCAGTTTGGTTCTGAATTTTCTATTCATCATTTGAAGAACATTTCAAAAATTTTAGTGAATGACAATAATGGCTCAAGGCCGTCAGCAGTGAATGCGCCACCGTTACCAATAAATATGCCCCCAGCACAGTTTGATGTGAACGCAGCTATGGTTGAAATTGCATCTCTTACACAGCAAATCACCGATAGTGAGACTAACTTGAGAGCTCAGTTCGATTCGATTGAACCAAGAAAGGAGGTTTATCATGCAATAATTTTATGCTATATAATTTAACACTACACCGATAATTCCGTCTTTATTCTGTTGTTTCATACGTTTACGAGCAGAATTTCATTATGGCTTATGTTAATGAATATTTGAGAAGTAGAATAGTGTTGTTCGAATGGGTGGCTCATTCGTTAAGAATCATAACAGTGATCATCCCAACAACGTCTTCATTGCTTGAACGTTTTTTATTCAACATATTATGTGAATAATCTAATTTAAAGTCTTTGTTAGTAATATAATAAGCGAAGTCATGTTCACAGTGTTTGAAAAGGTGAAGTTTTTGAATCCTTGATGTGAACACGTGGGAAACATTTTTCTTCTTTTGTGATTACGTCATCAATTGTGGTGATAAATTTTCGCGGTCGTGGATGTCATGCTGCTGTTAAAAGAATATTCTCATGGCTCATTTTAGAATGAAGCGGGTAATGTCGGTTGAGAGTTCAGTGAAGAAAATATCAGCTTCGAAAATAGAATTTATCACGAATTCCAATTCGTTATTGTAATTCTTATAAGCTGTCAGAAATGTTTTCCAGAATACTTTCAAATTTTTAAGTTGTTTTTATATGTCTATCTAAATCATCTTTAGTCATTATCGCGACCTGCATTTTTTTCCTTTTGTGTTGACTTTTGTAATCATCATTATTTTGTTGCTTACACTTATTTTCGTTTTGCTATTACCGAACAACTGACTAAGTTTCAAATTCTAGGCACAGTTAGCGACAGCCATCGAGCAAACGGAGTCAGATAAGATCGCATCAATTTGTGAACAAGTGTCTCTGGATGTGGCTCCTTTATCTGCCCTTTTAGACCAGTTGAATGGCCACTGCTCCAAGGATGTCATTTCGGTTCGTTATCTTATTGCAACGTTAACGTCTGTTCGAACCATTCATTCGTTTGCTTCTCATTCCAACAGTTTCTAAATGATTTATTTGTGAATATGTATCTTCTCCTTTACTTCTAAGTTCAGTATTCTTATCCTGATGCAAACTTTTATTTTCGTTCAAATAGAAATCTTCCAGATACCGTGGCCACATACGTAATTATGATCAAAATTGAAAAATTTTAAGATGCTCATAAGTTAGGAATATTTCCAGTCGAATGCGACATCCTTTAATGAGATTCATTTTTCAATCTATTCATCAAGTAATTTCATCTGTCGATGAATTTCCAAAGGATTGAGGAAAGCATTTTAGAACAGTAAAAAATGGATCTTCGAGAAATGCACAACTGACCGATTGCGTGAAGCGATTCTCATGTATTTACTGTATCGCGTGAAAGAAACGCGTGCTACTGAGCAGTTCAAGTTGCACATTCTTTATTTAATCAATGATTGGGCTTATCATTGGTAAGTGTATGAATGTCATTACATTGCAGTAAGAAGCATCATCAAAGAATATGTCGTTTATTTGTCGTTATTTCGGATCGTTTAAGACCTGTTCGTTCATCCTTTTGAGAACGTATAATTCAGACGACATTTCTTCGAAATTTCATATCTGTAATTGCAGTCAACGTAAGAAGTTGGATGCAATAAGACAGATGCTATCTAGATACGTACCGCAGTTGTACGCATTCACAGCGCATGGAGTGAAGGATGCAGCTTTGAACGAAAAATTGGAAAAGTTAGTTGGTGTTTGGGAGGGACACAAATATTTTGATGATGGCTGCTACAAGGTTCGTATTTAGTGTTATTATTTGTATTGTTTCTAGTTGCAGTTATCAACATTTTTATACTTCAGTCTTTGTTCATGCTAGAAACTTTATTTTTCCTCTTGAACATCAGATGTACTCAATGTGATCGTTATTTTGTAGCATTTTTCTTATGATGAAAATATGTTTCCAGCTAAATCTGCAAAGACGATAACGTTGAATGAGAATTCATTTTCGTAATATGATCATTGCAAGATTTGCATACATTGTTGATTTGTCTAATTGATTTCAAGAATTGCTTACAGTGCTATTATGTGATTGATTCTCATTATCATAAAATTTTAGCAGTTACGTAATCCTCTACTAATCTATCAAAATTGGAAGAATGCGCAACAGGCCGAGTACGCGAAAAAGTCAGCTGAAATACACGCACAGTTGATGAGTGTGTACAAGGGCTATGAACAACAACATCGTGAATTTACGCTTCATGTACAGAATCAAATTACCATTTTACAGCAACACATCGATGCAGCAAATCGTATGAAAGGTCATTGTTGTGTCTTTTATTTCCATTGGAGAAATTCATTTTCGAAGTAAAGCTTACTTCAAAATTTGTTGATGATGCTTACGTGAATATATTATAGCTAGTGGTGCGATGCCCATCGTTCAGTCATCAGCACGATCTCAATCACAACAGCCATCCGCAGCTCAGATGTCTACGCAGCAGTCTGCTGAACATACAATGAATCGTCGCGAACGTCGATCGAGATTCGATCAGAAAGCACCTCAGCCACCACAACAATCTTCTTCTTCTGAGCATCTTCAAGCACCTGCTTCGGATACTTCAGATTATGGACGCTTCTTCACTGCTCCACCACCACACTCAGCCAACTGTCCTTCTCCACGCGGTAGGTTTTTTAAACGGTATATTTCAAATTAATTTTAGCGTACAGCCGTTTACCAGCATAATCATTTGATTTCTGAGGATTTCGATGTGCGCACCAAAATTTACTTAATTCATTTCGAATCACTCCGCTGGTTTTAATGTTTCAGTTTTATTTTTTCACTTGTGACTTCCATGAAAAATATTATAATTACTCTGATAGTCAGTTGAGTTGATGTGTTTTCATTGCTTATAAATTCAAATGAATCGTTCAAAGGTGTTCATCATTATTACTACGCATATGATTGTTGCTTATATCTTATATCATATATGGTCAACATTATTACATTGTTACGAATAGCGGATTGTTTCTGTACTGGCCTTTTTAGATATTTATCATGCAAGACCGGATGACGTTGAAGAAGATGCGCCATTTGTTTATTATGATGAGGAAGATTATGGCCGTACTAATAATAATAATGATGCACAAATTGAAGCGTTTGCTTCAAATGAACCGTCTGTTCACAGTCAACATGGAATTGCTCCATCACTATTCGGCGGTATTTCATCAAATTCAGATGCATCACGTATGCCACCGAGATCGGTTCGTTTTTTCCTGGGTACATCGTATCGAATCTTCTATTTCTTCGATTATCATCAATTTGAATTTTTATTTTTGCATCAAGTTTTCGCGTTTGATACGCGACCGCATTGTACTCCGAAAGTGCAGCTTCATCACTACAACAAAGGTTTACTTAAAGTAAACGCACTTTGAGTGCAATATCGAAATTAATTTGAGCTTGCTCAATTCATCCCGTTGACTGAAGTTTGATTTTATTTCGTGAAGCCAATACAATTACTGGATTTTTACGAAATCATCTTCAAGCATCCCCTTAGACTGATATTTCATTTGCTCGAATAATTTTCAGTTACTTGATGATTCGGCGTTAATACCCAATTGTCCTTATTATGATCTTCCAGCTGGTTTAATGCTACCTCTTATTGAAATGGATGACATTCTGGTAGCTTTCTTATTTTGTAATTATTTTAGTGTTTTTTAGTCAACCTAGTTGTTATGTGTACAGCATTACAGTTGGTTTTTAGTGATTTTATGTGGAACATGGGTGGTCGTATTTATTCGTTACTTCTGTTCCTCTTGAAATGTTCCGGTAATGGATGCATCTGATTCATGAACGTTATCGTGATATTAATACCTTCACCGAAACTTTTATCAATCTAAGCGGAATTTTTTTAGTATAAGGCGATACCAATTGAGAAGTTGCGGCTTCCACCTCCACTACCTCCAAGCGAACGATTATTGCGGGCAATTGAGACGTATTATTCACCACGCAGCGTTGATAATCAAAGGGATTCGTTAGTATTTAATTTATAACGATCGATTCTCATTTATTTGTATGACTTCATGCGATATTGGCTTGAAATTAATTCATATAGTGGCGTGTCGGCAATATTTTAGCTGGTGGCTTGATTAACGCTAGATGGAATGTTTTATAACCACCAAACTGCAATAATTAATATTTGAGCATTTCATAATGTTTTGTTGGTGGCAAACAACGGTGGCATTATATCCATTTTACCAAACTGACAGTATTGAATATGTTAATTTGTGTATGCTTACAACGCTTAATTTCTAGTGATGGTTGGGAGAGACTGGGATTGATTGAGTATTACGCGAAAAAGGAAGAGGTTCGAAAAAAACTGGATGAAAAACTCAAAGCTGAAGGGAAAACGATTGAGGATATGATAGAAAATGTCTATTTGGACACTGAAGAGAAGAAGTACGATGATGGCAAGAAACGATCAGCACATTCACCTTCGAGGTATGTGGTGATTCAATTATATTTCATTTCTGTTGTCGACTCTCATCAACGATCAAAGTGTTTATTTTACGAAGCAAAAAGAAGACCATACGCAAATGCATTGAGTTACCATGTTCTTAAAACAGTCCCTCATTTGATGCTGTTACTGTTTAGAATTCGTCGACGCTCCACTTCGTCTAGCTCTTCAAATACCTCAAAATCATCAATTCATTCGAGTGCCCATCGTACGAGAAGACGACGAACTTCAAGCAGTTCAACGTCAAGCTCGCGTTCTCGCTCGAGATCAAGGTCAAGGTGTGTAATCGAAAATGACATTCATTTCTTACTGGAAAGTCCCCTCTTTTACTAGGAAGGAAAGCTTCTTTATCCAACCCGTGAAACGATCCGTTCGAATTAACATGCTCAGAGGAAGTAATAAGTGTGTCCATAATAATTATAATGATAATTTCAGAGAACGAAAGAGTTCACATCGTCGTTCGCGCTCGCATTCCCCGCGGAGAAGACCTCGAAAATCTAGCTCTCGAAGTGCATCACCCGAAACGCGACCTTCATTTGGCATCAGTACTAAAACTCACGGCCGTACTCCAACACCTCCTACCTTGTTGATTTTACTTTATTTGCTTGCAACAATCATTTACCTTTATGTAACATTTACTTTATGAAACATTTACTTCATTGATCATAATTTGTGTTTTTTAAACCAAAATATTCAGCGCTGCTCCGATGGGACCACCACCTCGTTTGGGTGCAGCAAATAAAGGTGCTCAATTGCTTTCAAAGATGGGATGGCAAGGTGGTGGTTTGGGTGCTGAACAGCAGGTTTCTTTAGATTGTTTCTCGAGCCTCTTCATTCATAAGCACCATATTTCAAAGATGTTTTATTGATTCAGTGATAAATTCTAGTAAATTCTTGATCAAAAACAAGCTTTCGGTGTTGTTTTGCAATTTTACAATTATTAAAATACCATCAAAATGTTATCACTGCCTCTTTCATCATCAGTTATATTATAGGGTATTGAAGAACCGCTCAGTGGTGGTCAGGTACGTGAACAGCAAGATCAGTACCGTGGAGTTGGTTCTAAACCGGATATATTCGAAGAATATCGTCGACAAATGAGCGGCTATCATAAGAGGAGAAATCGCAGGGATTTGGATTGATCCGTTTTTAAATCCTTTTTCCAAGTTTCAATGTTTTCCAACAGATATTGTCTCGTTGGACATAATATTTTTCTTTCTTTATCTTGGGCATTTCAAAATATTTTCGTGTTTTCGAGTGAGCATTATGATTGAAATTGCTACCCATTGAATGTGATTTTATCAGTGGCGTAATATTGCAGTGTTTATAGTTACTGTAATGTTGAGTTCATGACAAAATTAATGATTCATGGCCTAAAATATTATGTTCATGTATGTACCTGTTAGTTGTTTGCATACAATATGCGAAAACGATGTTTGTAAATGTTGATGTCTGCAAATGAAATATGTTGGTTGTTTCTTGCTTGTGCATGTGTGTATCATTCACTACTCGATCGAATGAAGAATAGTGTCGTGAGTTGTTGTTGCATCTGGATGCCAAACATAAAGAAGATCATTACATTAGAAGAGGATCGTAGAACGATGTTCCCATTCGTTAAGGCTGTAGGTTTTTTTTCGGGAGTTTTGGGTTTTCATTTGTTGTCTTCGGGCTGAATTTTATTGGTTTTTTATTTCGTCTCATTTTCAAAACAATTTTCGTGGGTGTATATTCTCAACGACTGAATCTGTTTTAAGTGTTGAGAATGTTTTACACTGATCGTGGTTTTTGTAGAGATTCGGACGCAATTGAATTCTTAGAAGTGACGAGTTTATTTGTTATGAGTTGAGATTTTATGGTTTTATTATGGAGTTTATGATAAAAATAATTTTATCTACTTGATCAGATAAAGTTATTAAGTGGAAAGAAGTGATTGGTGCTGTTCAGATGTTTTTTTAATTCTCCGCATACTGCATCAAGGACAGGTTTTATGTCAGTGATTCGATAATGTAGACCTACAATTAGGTTCTTATTTTATTCATTAAATATTTCCGCAGAAACGAGTTGCTTTTGTATTTTACACATATCAGCTTCCTCATCTCGTGGGTATATGCGTCGTTCGTGAAGAAAAACGCCTATCTTTCATTCAGTTCCTGCTTACCGTTATGCATTTTCCGTTATTTGCGTAACTGTTGACTGATCAAATTAGCGATCGATAAACAACATTTTCAGTCGTTGAAGAGAGTTATCTATAGAAGATGATTTTGAGATTGTTCTTGAAAATGAGCACATTCTAAGATGAGCTCATTTTCGAGAACAATTGATAGACTTATCTCAACATTCTAAGAATGAGCTCATTTTCGAGAGTGAATCAATGAAACTATTCTAAGTGAGTTGTGTGTCAGCACGCTAACGAAAGTAACGTTTCAGATGAAAATGGTTGTGTAGTATTTCAATTTGAAATGAAAAAGGCAGTGCGAGCGATGGTTTTGTGAATCTGTTAAAATTATACGATATGAGTTGAAAGGAAGATGAGGCATTAAAAAAGAAATAACAAAACGAAATCAAACAACTATTTGATGCGTATACAATTCGACAATAACAACTGCCATTCGATATCCACAAACAACAACTGCGTATAATACTTTCTTCCTGATCGTTTTTCCTTCTAAAATGCTTACCAATCACGCTAACAGCTAGCATTCTATTTGCTGAACGCACGCAGTTGGTCTCAATTCGTTTTGGTTTGTCGCTTTATCGTCTATTAGATTTCTGCTAACAACTATTAAGAAATTCAAGCTTGTTCGTGCTGAGTCCACTTGTAAGCATGCTAAATTCTAATGTTATGTGCTCAAGAATAAAGTAATTTGAAGCGAAACAACGGATGGTATGTTCTCAAATATGCTAGCGATCCCCTCGAAACTGTTCACATCTATCTCTACGTGATTGGTTATATGATATGGGCATCATGTGTGATTGACCATCAATACAATTATTCCTCTTTTGTTTTTGAGGTTAATTCCGAAAATTTCTCAATTTCAACGTCAGCGATTGTAAGTACCAACTTTCGAACATTTTAATGCGTTTGAAAAGTCGATTTGATCAGCAGTAACTTAATCATATTTTGTGATTCGTCATGGACGGAAAGGATAACTTTAAAGATTTGCTGCTGCATTTTTATTTCTCGCATGGATTAATTCGCATGCGTATTTACTTATTTTAAAATATTGACTTCATAACAGTGTTAAATCGATGTGCTGACTGCAGCAGTTGTTGAAGAAACGAGAATGTATGTATTAAGGGTGGTTATGAACAGCCAAACGAAATTGAAATGATCTTTGTTGCTTAATGATAAACGCGACTAGATTCAAGAGCAGTGAACAAGTAATCGCTTGGAGTTTAGTAAGTAATTTGCGGCTAAAACAGCTTATGTATAACTTATGTGATGTGTGCTGATCTATAAGTAGGTTGTTTATTTTTGTTTGCTTGATCCAGTGCTCACCGAAGTGAAACCACATTCGTATGTGTACGTTTATGTGATGATGACGACGTATATGCATTGCAAAGAGGCACATATGTACGCATTTATATCAATGTGTATGTATTTATTTTATATATGTGAGTTCAAATAAGCTATGCTAAAAGCCTGCCGCTAGTGGTACTATGCATTTGTTTGTTGATTGATCCATTTTCACGAAATCTAGCGGATGGCGCCTCCAATAAAATCAATTCATTGCTCCTTTATGCTAGCCATTACTCGACCTTCGACCTCTTTTAATTGCTCTTCGCGCATATACATTGATTGATTTTATTCTGTGCTATATGTCTCTCAACATTCATCTCAATTCACTACATATTCACGCTATTTTCAGTTACGTTTACTATTATCATTAATGTCGCCGTTACTACATGTCGTTATTGTTATTATTTTTATTGTTATTATTATTATCACTTTTCTTGATCGTACAAATCTGCTGATTGTGATAAAATTGAACAAATTTTTGCTGCAGTTACAGTATGAAATTTAGTGTCTAAGAAATGTTTCCTTAGTGATCTTGAAATAAAACCTCTATCTCTTAAAAAAAGCAGTTAGGTTTTCACTTTGTGTTCTAACGTGAGGATGTACTCTGTTCATTGTTACATCAGCTTTTTTAGATTTTGTGATTTGAAAGTTTGCGTACGCTCCGACATTCACTTTCATTTATTTTCGTCTCTTTTACGAGAACTGCCGTACAATATTAGAGATCATATAATAACTGAACTAAAGCATTTCGCGATCTCAATTTTATCATATGCGCTTTTTTTCTGCCCAACGCTTCCATTATCTGCAATGTTGGATGCATTATTATTGCGTTTTCAATCACTTTCCCATCACTGCTGTAATATAAATTGGTGAAGTCCCATAAAATGTTCATCCCATGTTAATCTATCGTGAACTTGCTCAATGCTTCCTTCACACAACGAATCCGTGTCGGAGCAATGCAAAAAGTTGTGCACTTTCATTTGTCAGCATTGATTGACTGAATGCGAACTGAAACGTTAAGGAAGAAATTAGAAATTTAAAATAAAAGGGTACGCAAACCTTTTCAGTACTATAGACGATTAGTAATCATTTATTGTAATTATGTTTATTGCTGATTGATTTAAGCCAATCCTTCTTATGTCAGCTTCTCTCACCGCTTGGTTTGAGAGAACGTCAATATTTTCACTTTTAAACTTTCACATAAATTTTACAGAATCGAATGAGTTTTATCAGTTACAACGGTAATGTGCAGATTAAACTTGATTACATAAAACCACGGAGTGAATACTCAATGAGTGAACGTATGAATTCTTTATCGACATGAATATAGATAAAGAACAGTTTGGAACTGCACTTCTGCCATCCACTTTACACCATGTTATCATTTCATTTCATTCACGGCCTGCTGAATTGATCGTTTTGCACAGGTTTGGAATTGATGTTGCCAATCTCTAATGAAAATGTTGGTACTATACGAAAGATATTATTTGGCTGCATTCAGCAGATCAGTGAGTCAGTCCATCGTTCATTCCTACTGCTTCAATACGTCACTCAATTAAATTGTTGTGTTATTAGCCTTATTTCGTCAACAATTTCTTATAATATGTGATTACACTCTTCTCTTAGGTACGTGTTCATCCTCGTATCCACAAGAGACCGTTTAACATCTTTACAAAATACTATATATTTCTTGAATAGTTGCAAACTTATGAGTCAAATGCCTTTTCTCTATATACAGCTTCATACCTGTTCGCATCATCGCTGTTTCTGTATCCTGTAGTATTCTCCATAATGACCACCCATATCCATCAGTTCAGGCTTAAACCACCAATTTCGTCACAGTTTAGAAACATGCTAAATCTTTTCAGCTGATAATTAGATAATAGATACAAGCCAAATGATAGCCTGGCTCAGACTTACAACATCAATGATATTAGTACATCGTTCGGTTTCGAGCAAAACTTTCCTCCTTGTTCATAAAGCATATCATGGAGGCGAATTTATGGTAAATGATCTAAATTGTGATAATTTTTTTCCGTGGAAAATGAACGATTACAAAAAATTTGCAAACAACTTACGATTATTTTTATTATTAAATTTGAGTTTATTTCTCGATCCCTTTCAAATGTATTTTTGGGAAAGGAACCCCAGAAAATACGGCCTCTAAATAATGCGATGAAAATGATAAGTGTACACATAACTTATGTTGTTTTATTAATCAATCCCATTTCAGTCAATCATTACGTATTTCGTCTTCTAGGCGTTCAAGAAAAAAAGAAAAGGTGATAGAATTTCAAAAGTATCATTGCTAGGTTTTTTGATATGTGGGTGCATATTCGGCAATGTTTTTTACTACTGGAAGCGTTTAAAAGTGATTTTTATTTGTATACCGCATGTAGTCTTGTGATTCTCATACGGCGTAGTGAATAATTAAACATTTTTCATTGTGCAGTTGAATGCATTTTATGCGAATGATCGTTTGTACAGACAGATGGTTTATTATTTATGAATGTATAATAAATATGATATTTTAGTGAAGGTTCCTTATTGATTGCTGATGAATATAGCATTATCGTGATGCAGTTGTTATCTATATGTATGTATAATACGGGCGTGCTTGTT